TAAGTTATTAATCAACGTTCCTGAGAATACTAAAGCCTTCCGAACTGAGAACATTTTAGCCGATTACTCAGTTTATTCCTATTATATTGTTTTTACATATAAACTGTTTTTTTTTGATTACCGTTTCCGCTTTTGTCTTTATCTTCACTTCACTCAGATGCTCTCCACTACTTAGACTTCTGGTCAGTCTGTACCGTTTTGAGTCGTTAAACAGTTCCCCCCCCCCCCCACCTCCACCTCCACCCCACATACACCCGAATGCAAAATCCCAGTGAAGTGCTTCGAATTAATTACCCATCTATCAGCTGGGAAAATATGTTTTATGTACATTAATTCAAGGACCCTGTGGCATCGGTGACCAGCCTCGCTGGTATCGGTGTCAGTCACACTAAGCGCTCGTGCTGAAGCTGCACTACTCGACTGGATCTCCTCCACCAACAGTCATCTATGTGATGTTAGGCTAAAATGTTTATCATGAGTAAGAAGTAACCAGCAAGAGAAACGATGTCTTTTTGTCATCTCTACCCACTCTTCGACAGATTGGAGCCCGGATGAAATCAAAGATGAATTCTATCGTCAAGTGTGTGACTTTCTTGACCAGGTGCACTCAACAGATATCGTGGTGCTAGCTGGGGGCTTGAATGAGCAGGTCAGGCATCTAGACTCGTAGCAGAGTCGTTTAAGTGAATAAAGGGGACCAGTTGACCGCAGGTCGGATGAAAGGGATCGTTTTCTGCAGCTTTGCACAGATCACAACCTATTTTTAGGTCGCACCAACTTTCGACACAGCTATCGCCATTGTGCTACTTGGCGTCCTCCCTCTGTCATTTAAGCCAGGACTCAAAAAGATAGTATTGCAATTACCTGCCGATGGCGTGGATTCAAATAGGACTGCCGCTTCATGTGAAGTACCTCTCTGGACTCTGATAGTGCTTTAGTGTGTGCTGAGTTCATCTTGCGTTTTGGTGGTCGTCCAAATCATAGTCCTAAACAAATCGATGCAAACAACTTAGTTGCACCTAACATTGCAGCTTAATGCCATTCCCAGTTAGATTTAAGGCTGACTACCGATCCTCCAGAAAGTGTAGATGAACGTTGACTACACTTTCAAGATGCCATGTAAATGGTGAATAAAGCTGCTTGTGGCTCAGAAGAACATCAAGCCAATCAACACTGGATCTATGCGAGTTCCCTACAACTTCTTGAAGCCCGTCGGACAATTCCAGTGTATACCGAGTACAATGGTTCGCGTTTCTTATGCAATAGATTAAACAACACTTACCCATGAACTATGACGCTTTGTAGTGGGAATGAGCGAGTGAGATGGAAGCAGCAGCTGCATCTGGCAATAGTCGGAAGTTGTCACAGTTCATCCGAGCCACTGGCAGTAAGAAACCAGGTGTCAGTGAGACAGCTTTTGAAGTTGATGGTACGCCGATGAACAATCTTCAAAGACACCTGGAATGCTAGGCAGAGCACCTCGAAAAGCAGTTAAACTTGCCCACGGCCCTACCATCTCAGTTTCAATGTGTTGTGCTTCATGGTCAGTTAACACGGATCCATCACTTAACGACGTTGAGGTCCATAAGGAACTTCAAGTTGTGTGACGTCACAAGGTACCCATCCGAGACAACCCACTGTCGGTTCTTTTTAAGGATGGATGAACGACTATAGTTAGAGAACTGACTAGATTGTTTGAGAAGGTATGGCAGACTGAGAGTATTCCATCACTCTGGAATGAAGTCATCGTTGTGCCCATCCTTAAAATGGCTAACAACCGTAGTGTTTCTTGACATTAGGGACTGCCTTCGACTCGTTGGACGGAGATGAACTCTGCAAATGTCCGTGGGAGATGGGCGTGCCTGAGAAACTTATTAACATCTTGAAAGCCGTATTTATCTACACTTCAGGTAGAGTGAGGGCATACAACCACCTGTCTTCATTGTTCCAAACCAGCAGTGGAAATAGACAGGGTTATCCGATTCCTCCATTCCTCTCTAACTTTGTCATCGGTGGCATCATTGAGACAGCTCGGAAACAGTTGAATGTTGGTGTTGTAGATCCACTAATTGGGGAACAGTCATTCGACGTTGAATATGACAACGATATCGTCTTACTGTGCGATAACACACAGGTTGCTGAAGCCGCACTTAATTAGTTGGTGATTCGTGTCCGTATGTGTGGTATGTACTTTTCGGCATCGAAGTACAAAGAACTCTTGCGAGATTGGAATGAGCCTGTGCCTGTAATCACTGTAGGAAGTGGTCGAAAATTTCGTGTATCTAGGTAGTTGTGTGATTGTTGGTATAGATGTGAGTGATGAAAATTCCAACTGCATATCGAAAACAAGAGTAGAGTCTGCGTATGTGTGCCACCCATGTTGCTGTCATGACATTAGTCTGATTTACGGTCAGGTCGGGTTTCCTCTATGTCTGTGAAATCTGCGACGACTGTGTGTTCGATCCTCGCTGTCTCCATATGATTGCTTATATCTGGTGGGAACAGCATGTAAGTGATTCTGAGGTAGGCCGACATGTGTTGGGGCATTATTGAGATCTTTATTCTATGAGTGAAGCCATCTGGAAACGCCGTCTTTGGTGGCTTGTAGATGAATTACGCCAATCCTCCCAACAGCTTCCACGTCGCTCATTGTTTGCTAACCCTGGAACTGGATGAAAGAAGCAGATGGTTTTTCAGTGTTTGGCGTAGCGCCGTAGGTCGAGGTATAGTTGTGCTGGGTCATCATCTGTTGGTGCATCACGAACCTCTGGGTGAGGTCGGAGAGACCACGCAACTCGGTCGCCTGAGATGTTGTCAGATATACCTGAGAATCGAAACCAATGTCGGTCATGCTGTAGCTTCCTCCAATCTTCTGCTGCTGAAAAGCAATGAATGTTTTGTTTTGATTGCATGTTACTGGATTGATCTCCTAACCATTCTATTCTTATTCAGTTTCTCTTTTTAACTTATTCCCTTCCTTTCACTTTACGTCTTCATAGTGTTACATTATTTTTTGTGAGGCATTTCTTGATATCCTTCGTGAACCCTGTTTATGTCCTAGTAATAATAGTAATAATGACATAACACCCATCCTGTCGAGGACTCTGGCCAGACAGCCTATACAGCCGGTCTCTCATGGAATTGCGCCAAATGTAGGACTGGTAGCATATTTGGGTCTGACCTTCTTTCAACTTAATTATTCCTACTTCGGCTAACGCCACGTGTCGAGGTAGCTGGTAGCTCAGTATTTGCAACACTGTTTTATCGACTAGCTTACCCTCCTTGCTTATTCCTCTGCATTCATTCGAAATATGATGTAAGTCAGGTAACTATTCACTCATTCATACAAGAACCATTGATTTGTTGACGGTTAATTAAGTTATTTTTATTACTACTAATGTGTTTAAGCCATAGAAAAATCTTTGCATTTTTTTCACCTTTACGTCAATTACTATGAGCGTAAATATAAAAGCAATCAATCCTCTTATGTGTTTACACATTCGTATTTTTATTCTGTAAATCTGAGTTAAACTTAGAGGTATCCATAAGCACTAACTGCTGTGATCATACACACAACCGCTGACTAGAAAAATCGTTAGACAAGACAAATAAACAAACTCAAGTTTATAAGCTTGACCTTGAGGGATATGACTCATTCTGACTGACTAATATTACAGTTTCAATGAATTGTCTACATTCATACAGTAAAATGTAATTCAGTCAAGAATGATGTTCACTTATGATGGTAATGATAGATAGTGGCTATCAGTGGAATCCTGAATGCGCATTTCGTCCTATTTTGGACTCGTCAGCTGGATGTACCTGCTTCCCTGATGAGTGATGTTGTTTCAACCGTCACACAAGAAATGGCTATTGTGGCTCGGCAGTGTAGTGGATAACGCTCTGGCGTTTGAGGCGACCACTCCCGAGTTCGAATCCCGGTGGGAACAACATCTCTCACAGGGAAGCAGATACATCCAACTGACGAGTCCCAAATAGGACGAAATGCGCATCTTGGGTTCCACTGCTAGCCACTATCCATCATTACTATCATAATACCACAGGTAATATCAAGACATTCGTACAGGATCCCATATGCCAATAGAGACCAATCAACTATGGTATGATATAAAAAACAATTATATATACTAATGATGTTCACTGTTTGCTAAATCAATAATCCAACACACCTTCCCTAAGTGTAAATTGTCTGAAGTATTCTTTATTTTCGTAATCGTCTTTGATGTGTTCCTGGTGTATCAAGTAATATCGATCACAATAAGTAGTTATCAGTCTGATTATCTGACCTGGCTGGAAACCAGGTGGTCGCTGGTTCAAATCCCACAGTGACCCAAATTTTCATTTCACCTTCAGTTATCAACTAATGTCTAAATCCAGGATGGACGTTTCTTCGTTCCTGAGAATCATCATTCCCATAAACTGCAAACTACGTTACTGTCTAGTGTTCATTTGTGACATACTTCGAGGTGGATATCTCGACATTTTAATGAGATACCGTGCATGACCTGTGGATTCAACCAATCAGAATCGAAGATACGCGTTTCGTCTTTTTTGGGAATCTTCGGTTGCACCGCAGTCCATGATGTTGTTTCCACTGAGACTTGAATCCATCGCATAGGCGACCCCATGCCAATAAAGGTTGAACAATTCGATCTACTATGGCAACTTGAGATTACAAGTATCAAAAAACAACTGATATCCGTTGCTGTTGTATCCCAATAGCCTAGTGGAAAGCGCTTCGGCATTTAAAACGATAGGTACTGTGTTCGAGTCTGTCAGTGGGAATAACATCATTCACTGAGGTGCAGGTACATCCGGCTGACGAGTCCTAGATAGGACGAAACTCGCATTCTTGACTCAAGTGCTAGTCACTAAGATGAATATACAAAACTAGGGTTTATCCATTTCACTTAATCATTATCATTCATTAGTATTATCTCAGTTATGTATTTCTGCATAATTTGTATCTCTATTTCTAGCTAACGAGTTGGCCACTTTTGTTGCCCAGATGACTAAACAAATGGAAGAGAAGAAAGCGAATATAAGGTTGGATAATCCAGCTATCAGTGATAACAATAGCCATAAAGACAACCATACCTTGACCATGGATGATATTCGTTGGCTACAGTCGAATGTTACTACTTACGCTTCATCATCCTACTTGAAAGCTGCTCATACTATTGACCAGGAGGGGAGTAATAGCTATGGCTATCAAGTGACTCAAATCTCTTCAGGTAGATGATTAATTCCTTAGTGTTGTTTCTTTTTTATAATTTAAAGTAATTACTTCCCTTTATAAACTTCGACAAGGAATACTATGAAGACGTAAGCTGTCTTAATCCGGTGTAATATGTATTTTGTGCAACGCATTCCAAACAATCTGATCGATCAGTTACGCATATACTTGTCACTAGGGGGTTTATATGAAAATTTATGAAGAAATAAGGGTTAAAACTATACTGATTATAAACTCCTTTGGGAAGTAGCTAATGAATCATAAATACCTTAGTCAAGGGTCGGGGGAATTCAACGAACCTGTACAGAATTCAAAACAGCCTATGAATCATATTTATATGTAGAATACATGTGGTAATTACCGACACTTCAGTGTCACTTCGCTTCGCGGAACTTCATCTTGGATCAAGTCACCACTGAGCATTTGAAGGTTATATAAGAGGTGCTTCATTGGCCTAGTGGATAACACCTTGGCTTTTGAAGCAATGGGTACAAGGTTCGAGTTTCAGTGGGGTACAGGTACATACCGCTGACGAGTCCCAGGTAGGACGAAACGCGCGTCCTTGATTCTTCTGCTAGCCACAACCAAGTAAATGACAGTGATTCAGTTTTGAGGTTTTTTTAGAGACTTGTTGATTTCAAGCTGAAATTCATCACGGACAGAGAGCAGGGCTTAATTTTTAAGCTTGAATAGGAATACCTGTGCACTAGGATACAGCTATATCCATCTGATGAGTCGGTAATTCAGAAGTCAGTCTATCAGACCTCAACTATCTGAGATAGTCTTTATTCGAAGTATATGATCATATCCACAGGTGTGATAAGCTGTATCTACACGCTTATCTGTCATATTTCTGCTTGAAAATCAACTTGCAGAATGACGCATACATGAGCACGTATCAGTGATTAATCTACAAAACAAACACCAACTAATCTAATCTCGATTAGTGTCAGTATTTATCTTTTATTTTTTCTTCGTGTAGTTAGACAATGACTCAGTTAATTAGAAAATAATTTTTTCGAAATATATTGTGATTTGTTCCTTTCAAACACACACACACACACACAAAGACTTAATCTTTGTATTTATTTGTACTTTGGACCCCTGAGGTAAATTTCTCATGTGATAATCCAACGCGCAGGGTGATGCATAGACAGATGAAATCAAATACCAGGTTAAACTGTAAGCACAAAAACTGCACATTTCAAAAATTGTAGTACCCTTATTTATGTGTATGTGTGTGTGTATGTCGGCAAGTATCACATAAGCTTGTTATAATTCGAAATTATACGAATTTAATTGTTTGCCTACAGCATACAAAACTACTTAAGTGTGCATATTTGTGCCCTTTTTTTTAATGAAGTGCGACCGCACTCGCGCTGAAATATCCGTCATTGAGTGATTTAAACAAATAAATGTTGCATATTATAATTACAAAGCTAGATTTATAAATTGGTACAAAAAAAAAGTCAAAATCATTTTTCAAAAATAACTATGAATCTGTCTTGCAATCAGTCTAAATTATTATTATTTTTTTCTCCCTTCTCTGTTTCAATATTGGAAAAGTTATAATTATTCTTTTATCATTGAGAATAAATCACACGTGCCTATGAGTAAATGTGAATTTATATGAGCGTTTTTTTTTTGGTTGTAGAACAAAAACAAACAAATGAAAATGAAATTTATAAAAATGTTGAACATTGAATGACTGTTGTGAAATAATTTATTTGATCACTGATACTTTATGTATTGTGTACAACTGTAATAAGCACATAATAAGATACCTGTCTAGGCAGCACTGTTTCAACTACAGGTGGCACAGACGAGGACGTCAAAACCAGTCAGGATAGGAAAATTAGCAAGACAGGCGTTGATTAACCTGAAACCAGTGTGGAGATCTTCTGCACTGCAGTCAGCATGTGGAACAACATCCGGATTTTCAACACTAATTCAGTCAAGTCAGTGCTTCTGTATATCTGAGAGACTTGTCGCGTTATGAAAGGGATTTCCAACAAACTACAGACATTCATCAACAACTGCTGCCTACACTGGCTCGATACTGAAGGTCGATCAGATGGCCAGAATAGTGAGAATAAGCAACAAGGAACTCTGGCTGGCTGGCAACGAACCAACGAAGCAAGAACCTATCGCCGAAGAAATATGCAGTGGATCGGGCATACACTGAGAAGGCTGATTGGGGATATGTTGGCCAGACCAGGTTGTCGAGTGGCACCCAGATGGGAAGTGACGAGTTGGGTTTTCGAGGTGAGGTTGACATGGAGTAGATCGTGTAGGGAGGAAATGAGAGTTGGTGGGCTGTCGTGGAGTGAGGTTCAAAAGATTGGAGAGAAGAGAGTGGAATGAAGACATTCTACTGAAGCCTTATGTTTCATTAAGAACCCAAGGGACAAATAATAAATAATAAGATACTGAAACGCATTGAATAGTAGGAATGGTTTGGTTAACTCATTCTGTTGATTCTTAGGGCAAATGATGAAAATTCGATAGGGAACACTGAAACCAATTATAAGAAATTATAGATATATGATTCAACCGCCATTGAAGTTAGTTGAGAATGAAAAATATACAGAAAGCAGTTAAGAATCAATCGAAACTCATGATATGTGTACGAGAATTTCATTGAGTGTATAGTTTTATTTAATAACGGAGGGATAATACTAAAGTGTTACTTGCACTTACACAACACATTTCGAACAATCTAATCAGTTACACACATGCTTATCCTATTGGTTTATATGAGAATTCATAAGGATAAATGGTGCAAATATGAAGACGGGATTAAGTAGGAAGGCTGAATTAAAGGTCGAATAACAATGAAAATCAATAGAGTGAAAATTATGGTACACCGAACTTGGTTTTCATAGTTGAATTGACCAAGGGAGATTTAATATGATAACAAACTGTTTTTGAGTACACAAAGGTGGTTTAAACTTCCAAATAAGTAAGGCCTCAACTAATTTAAGGATCTGTCGCCAACACATTTTGTAAACTGGTCTAAAGGAAGTATCCGCGTCAATCCTGTGGCCTGCTTAACGATATGTTTCGTGACCGAAGAACTTGAACGTCTGCTACCAACATTTATGGATTCAGGTGATTTGATTTGTTTCTGAAGCCACTTTGGAATATGTTTCCAGTCCCTTACTTGTATGGATGTATGTATCCTCCCCATGCATGTGTCACCACACGTAGATTTTAATTGATAGATACAATGGGTGTGACATTGTCGTTCACATACTGTAAGGGTTTGGGAAAATATACGGGGTTGGTGGTTTCTATTAATCGAACCCTAACTGCATAGTAAGTCCTTGTAATAGTAGGGTTAAGTCTCTGCTTAAGGATTGCACTATGAGGGTCACCTTTGTATCGAAGACTGATGAAGATATCTTTGTTTTGGACAAGTGAAGAGCTGGTTTTAGTGCTGTGGTTGTCTTGTGCTGCCTAATAAATTTTGATGGATAGTTATTCTCCAACTGTATTTCAGTTAGTGTTCCCCTTTCATCTTCCGAAGTATCCTTTGTGCATATTCGTTGAGTTCTACTGAACAAGCACCTAACTAACGCTCACTTGTACTCAACTAGACAGAAACTATGATAGTTCAAATATTGCCCTGTTCATGTAGGTTTTCTATAGATAGATGGTTTTATGGATTCATCTCGCCGCTGGCTGATCAATATGTCGAAGAAAGGCAAGTAGTCATCGTCCTCTTCTACGTATGTCAAAGATATGCTGCTTTGTACTTCATTTAGTCGGTTCAGAATCGAAATGGACTGATTTGAGTTGTCACAAATGATAATGAATAACGTTGACATACCTTCGATGTAGATAGGCTTAGTGAATTAGGTTCTCGGCTATGTTTTACTCGTGTGAAATAAATATGTCAGCTAAGGCGGTGGCCTAAAGGACTTCTGATATCAGCGGCATCAACCTGGCGAAAATAATTGCCCTCCAATGTAAATTTAATATCACTTGCACATAAAAGTAGTAACTCTTTCAAGTGATCCAAAGGAATGGGGATATTGAAAAATTATGCACAGGAATATAATCACATGAAATGTCAATTGTCTTGACCAAAAGGACATTGGTGAATAATGAGTTGACGTCAGATGAACACATAAATTTACTTTTTGTGCTGACATCATCAAGTCATTCGGTCACTGAAAATATAGGTTTTTAAGGAATACTTCAGAGTCGATTATCAATGGGACCCAGTAATTCCACTAGCCACTGGGAAAGCTTGTGCGTTGATGATTTGTACATTGACATTATAGGACGTAATGAATTGTTGGGTTTGTGTACTTTGGGCAAACCGTAAAGATGTGGGAATCGCGATTCAGTCAGTTTGAGTAAATCGAATTTTTGTCTAGTAATAACGTTGAAAGTTTTTTTCAAACAAAGCCATACATACCAAATGAAAACTATCAGACTATGAGTTGAAGGTATTATGAATAGTGAATAAGAAAAAGGGATTATGTTTAGAAGCGATAGACAGGATGCCGTTACCACTAAATCATTCAGTCTGTAACTGACTCACCGTACCACTGGGTTGAACACACGAATTGATCATTACTAACTATCTGTAATCGCTTGACCTTAATCTAAGTGGATCACGATAGTCAATTGGTCAGATCACTGACCACAATGCAAATCAGACCGACACAATTTAATAAACATTTAGGAGGAAGGAACATGGCATTAGTTACTCCTCTATAATCAATGAACATAAGAAAGAAAGCTTTAAAAGTAAGAAGTTGGCATGCAACTGCTAAATAATTTTCGCAAAGCTTTTCGACTCTTTCTTTTATTCACTGAGTTACATTCATTCAGGCTTATTACCTCGGTTGCTTACATTATATTCCTAAATTGCTATATGCTTGAATACCGCGCTGCAGTTTTCCTGTTCTTAATAAGTTTCATAATTCGTTTTACATTCTAGGATCCCTTCACGAAACATTTTACTGTATTCGCTAATTCTGGTAA